GAGATGAATCTAGTTTTCTCTAATTTTAGGGTTTTGTTAGGGCCTTATGAGTAGTGGAAGCTTTGAGTGTAGGGCATCCCTTTACTTAGTTTAATAATAAGGAAGGGGACTAATAATAAGAAAGGGGACTGCTTCATTAAGAAAAAAAATAGACATATTTTTCTTTTGTCCTTCTTGGTTCCTCTAAGTTCCTAATTCTTATGTGAAGCATGTTACCTTAATCTCTTCCGATCATTGTATGCTTCTTATGGATTGTTTGTCTGATGTGTTGTCTGTTAAAAAGAGATTTTTGTTTGATGTCAATTGTACTCATTTTGAAGATTTTAACTCTGTGGTTGACGAGGCTTGGAACAAACCGTTGTCTAAGCATGCTCATTTTAGTATTCAGGATAGGCTTAGAAATGTAATGATGCAAATTCTTAATTGGAAAAAAGTCTCATGTTTCTAATACCAGACTTGTTATAGAAAGTTGTAAATCCAGCTTGAGTCACCTTAGAGAACTAGAGGGGCAGGGATTGGAGAGAGTGACTCTCTAAAATGAGTTAATTGCAATTAGCTTATAAAGTTGAGGAGAACTTTTGGAAGAAAGCTAGAGTTCATTGGCTTTAAGAGGGGGATATGAATTCCAAATATTTTCATGCATGTGTTAGTCAGAAGAAGAAGTTAAATAAGCTAGATTGTATCCTAAAACCTTATGAGTCTCCTTGTATGAATTCCCAGGATATTCTTTCTGAATTAATTACCTACTTCGATAATGCATTTAAATCTTCTAATCCATTGGATCAACTATGTTCTTTGGATGGCGTTGCTTGTACTATTACTAATGCGGATTTGGTGAAAAATGTTGATGAAAAAGAAATCAAAACTGCTCTGTTTGAAATGCCCAAAGACAAGGCATCATGTGCTAATGGTTTCACTATTTTGTTTTTTCAGCACTCTTGGCCAAGCATTAAATTTCATGTTTGTCTTGTTAGGGATAACTTTTTGCTAATGGAAAGATGCCTAAGGGTTTATATCACACTGTTGTCACTTTAATCCCCAAAAAGAAAAACCCTTCTAGAGTTGATGATTTCAGACCTCTAAGATCGGCTCAAAGATTGCGGAACACAGGTTAAACATTGGTAAGACCGATCCAGCGGAATATGAAAAATTTTGGGGCAGAGCTAGATTTGGTGATTGAGGCTGAAGTTGGAAAGTTAGTTAACGCATGCCATATCCGGCCCATCCAGTTTCTCGAATGGCTTGTCAAAATCAATCATAGTGTAGAAAGAAAAAGGGAAGTAGGGAATATGTATCGACTTTAGGGACCTAAATAAGGCCTGCCCCAAAGACCACTACCATTTGCCCTGAATAGACCAGGAGGTTGATTCTACGAGCATGATGGATGCTTCCTAGGGGTACCACCAGACCCTTTTGGCAGAAAAAGAATAGAAAAAGGTGAGTTTCGTGACATCCAGAAGTACATATTGTTATGTAGTAATGCCTTTTGGATTAAAAAATGCGGGTGTCACCTGTTAAAGGTTGGTGGATAAAATGTTCTAAGGGCAGATATGCCATAACATGGAGGTTTATGTTGACGACATGTTAGTGAAAAGCAAAGGTGGAGGATCACGCAGAAGACATACGAGAAACTTTTAATATGCTCCGACAATTTGGCATGAATCTCAACCCATCAAAATGTAAGTTTGGTACACGATTAAGAAGATTTCAGGAATGCTTAGTAACATAGAAAGGAATAGAGATAAATCTAGAAAAGGTAGGGGTTGTCATCGACATGCAGGACCCAAAAAATCTGAAGGAGGTAAAGGTCCTTATTGGACGTCTAGCAGGCTTGAGCAGGTTCATAGCCCAGTCAACTGAGAAGCGTTTTCCATTTTTCGAACTCTGAAGAAGGGATCTCGTTTGAGTGGACATCATAGGCTCAACAGGCGTTTGAAAGATTAAAAGAATTCTTGTCCGAGCTCCCCCTATTTACACAGCTGGAAACATGGTACATGTTGGTTGTATATCTGTTTGTGGGACTGGAAGCAATTAGCTCGATGTTGTTAAATGATGAGCACAATCAACATAGTCCGATATATTATGTTAGTCAGATACTACAAGGTGGTGAGTGGAGATACCATGACGTCGAGAAAGCTGGTGTAGCACTCATTTCCACTGCATGGAAGATACGTCCCAAGTTCCTGGCCCACAAAGTCATAGTACAAACAAATTATGCGCTTAATAAGACCTTGGGCCGACCTTCGGCCTCAGGGAGAATGGTGAAGTGGGCAGTCGAGCTGGAGGATTAAAAGTAGATTTTGAATTAAGGAGAGCCATCAAGGACAAGGCCCTGGCTTAATTCATACAAAAGTGCACCACAAGCGACGAAGATAGACAATGGACGGTGTACTTCAATGGATCTTCGGCTATAGAAGGTGTCGGGCTTGGCATCTTATTTGTAACACCCAAAAATGACCATTTGGAGTTCACGGTCAAGCTTTCGTTTAGAGCATCAAATAAGAAAGGTGAATATGAAGCCATTATAAAGAGGATTCAACTTGTGCTGAAAGAGGAAGACCGACGAGTGATCCATCATTCGAACTTCCAGCTTGTGGTTGAACAGATTGAGGGGGAATATGAGGCAAATGAGCACCGCATGTAGAGGTATGTAGCCGAGGCTCATGAAATGTTGAAGGGATTTGTAACTAAGAAGCTAGTGCAGATATCGCGAGGGGAAAATGACATGGTCGACCTTCTTTCTAAAATGGCCGCATCTTTAGTAGACTGTCAATCTAGATCATTAACACTTCTGGACATGGCCGTAAGCACCTTGGACTAGGTTTTAGAGGTGAAAAAGCAAGGATATTGGAGGTCATCCCTACTCGAATGGTTGCAGAACTCCATGATAGGGAAAGATGTTAGAGGTGACCCCGTGGGAAGAAGAGCTTTAAGGTTTTTTCTGCAAGATGAGATATTGTAAAGTGATGTGTTCTGGCCTTGATGGTGAGTACGTGCTGAAGGAATTTCATGAAGGTTGTTGCGGGGACCATATGAAAGCTAGGGCCTTGGTTGGAAAGGTCCTTCGGACTGGGTACTTTTGCCCCAAGATGAGGGCGATGACACATGAACTTGTTCAGAGATGCAAGAACTGTCAGCAGCACGGTCCGCTAATCCACCGACCTGCACAGAATATGATCCCCATAAGCTCTCTAATGCCCTTTGCACTATGGGGAATTAACATAGTGGGGCCTCTATCTCAAGCAACATGTCAACAAAGTTTCTGTTGGTGGAGGTGGACTATTTCACTAAGTGGATTGAGGTAGAGCCACTAGCAAAGATTACGGAGAAAAAGGTTATAAAATTCCTGTTCGCAAATATCTGTTGTCGTATGGCATTCCGTGGGTGATCACATCAGATAATGGGGCTGAGTTTAATGGTCGACGTATGATAACATGGTGTAGAGATATGGGCATAAAGCAGTAGTTTGCGTCCGTAGCCCATCCGCAGGCGAATGGGCAAACTAAGGTCGCCAGCAGATAGGTCCTTGGTGGGTTAAAGAGTAGGCCGACCATCGTCTGCGAAGATGGGGATGTTAATTTTCGACGCATACGGGGATCACAATATGGCTTCATTTGTAACATTAACAAAGTTACCTGGATCAGATGGTACAAGGTCAAGGCAGCTCGACCCTCCTTAGTCTTCCACTTAGAGGTCTCCCCCACGGGGAAGATGGAGAGCAAGTAGGTCTGTTCCCACGTCCTTGTTGTCGGCGAAGGACTGGGGTTGTTCCAAGGTCGACGCCAATCAAGTTTCTGGCTCGGGCGTCTTGCCACTTTACTTTGGGGAGACCTCGCCTCCCTTGGTGGTCACTTTCCGGCGTTTGCCCACAGGTTGTTTTTTAGGGGGCCACCGGTAAGGAGGACACTAGGCTTGAGTACTAGGGGCTTCCAGGACGACGACTTGGTGAGGATTCTGGTCGACGGATGGTTGGGCTTCTTTCTCTGGTGGAAGGAGTGGCCGCCGCAGAGTTGAACATGGCCTCTGCATAGGGCGTGATTGTCAGAATATTAGCGGCATAAATACAAAAGTAAAACAAGAGATGTGCAAGGAATGTCAGCTCGCGCCTTGCACGCCTACCTATATCGCCCACAGGTTTGGCTGCACGAATAACTTTAAATAACGGAGAATTTGCACATCAGAGGTTAGCTTTACGACATGGAGAGGTCGCTCGTTTCACTGTTTGATAAGGGCATCGTACTCGGCGTTAGGTTTGAGGTTTTTTGCGTTGACCGCGTAGCTTATGTAGCCACTCAGATAATAGTCAAACGTATTGGGCGAATTACGGACGAAGTTTCCAATTATGAACTTTTATTTAGATTGTCTAAGGAAGCTCGCGCCATTGCGACTTGACATATAATGTGAGCCCTGGACGGTTTCATCCAGAGGCATTAAAAGCAGATATCGGGATTGATCCTATCTAATCGAACTCGGCCGACCATGATAAAACCGACAAGAAGTCGAGATGGAGTTGGGTTGTAAGGGCTAAAAATAAAAACACGTTCATTTCGAGGGAGAGAGGTGAATATTTTGATGATTGACGTCCGAGGCCCGGCATATATAACGTTTCTTCCACCGCTTTTAACGGGAGCACACACATACGCACATATTGTTTTTATATTCATATATATAAATATAGGTAAATGTGTAATTATTAGAGTATTTTCTACTTTATAATATTCAAAAAGTCAAAATGACTATTTTGCTTTTTTTTTAGCAATATAACTTCACCGCCAACCTTTTCTTCTCTTCCATTTTCCACTCTCTGCTCTCCCCATCTTCTCCTTCTCTTCCATTAATATTGTGAAGAATATTAATTTAGTGTTTCTGTCGAGCACATTCCTCTTCTTCATCGTAAATGGACAAGAATTACTTTATGAACGCCGGAATTTCGCCGTGGACAGAAGTGGCCTGCGGGGCCGATCAGTCGTTCATCGAGCCCAACCATGACCAATTCTCGTACTTGGACTCGTCCTTGGCCCTCCGTGAACTGATCCGGAAGCTCGGCGGCGACGTGGGTACGCCCACTGCTTTTCCGGCGGCAGGTTGCTCCAACTTCGCCAGCACCACCACCACCACCGACAGCAGCTCCCTAGCCTCGCCCAAGCTGAATCTGCCGATCGTGGACCAAATGAGCATCCCCAATTTCGGGAGCATGGCAACCCTAGCCCCGCCTCTTCCGTCGCTCGCGGCCGATCCAGGGTTCGCTGAGAGGGCGGCCAAGTTCTCCTGCTTCGGCAGCCGGAGCTTCAATGGCCGGTCCCAGCCGCAATTAGGGCTGACCAGCAATGGAGAAATGGGGATTAGATCCGGCAGCAATCCAATTTCCTTGGCTAACGGTAAATTATCCCGCGTTTCGAGCAGCCCGACCCTCAAGCAAGGCGGATCGGCGAGTAGGAATTCAGGCCCGATGGAGATTCCCAGGCCCGGGAAAATGGGGTCTGAGAAGAAATTAAGTAAACTGTTGGGGTCGAATGCTAATTCTTCGAATGAGGAGTCCTCCGTTTCGGAACAAATCCCGAGTGGTGAAACGGGCTCCAAGATCTCGAACGACATGAACTCTAGGAAGAGAAAATCTGGTTCCAGGGGGAAATCTAAAGATGGATCAAAGGTAAACATTTCGATTTAATTGCTCAAAGCTCCTTTGTCATTAGCCTAATTAACTGCAGACACACTTATTATGCTTTTTCTGTAATTAGATAGATCTAATTAGGAGGCTGAGAATTGTAGTTGCTCGATAAAACCCGAATTGAAAATGTTAATTGGCTCCAAGAAAAGCATTGATAAACTACGCGGGTAGTTTATTTGAAACTGTTTTTTCAGTTAAATTCCAAAGTGTTCCATTACTAGGTAATCGAAGGCGGTGAAGATGCAGATGCGAAACGTTCAAAGCCGACTGACGGAGGGAAAATTGAGGCGAAAACAGAAGAGGAAACGTTCAAAGGAGGCTCAAATGAGGAAACCGAGAAAAGAAAGGTCGATCAGAAGCCGTCTGAGCCACCAAAGGATTATATTCATGTCCGAGCAAGAAGGGGCCAGGCCACTGACAGCCATAGTCTAGCTGAAAGAGTAATTGATACCAAATTTTCTTTATTATTATTAGTATTATTAGTTACCTCAATTATCAAGAATTTGCTGAAATTAAATCCACCTTATCATTTTTTTTTCCTTTTCCATCAGGTTCGTCGTGAAAAAATCAGCGAGAGAATGAAGCTTCTCCAGGATCTTGTACCTGGTTGCAACAAGGTTAGCACAAAATATGTAACTTCTTTTCCAAATCCAGATCAAAATAAGATATTGGTTAGTTGAATTACTAACTAAGTAAAGTAAAATCCAAGCTATCTTTCGATACGTAATCGACATGAAATGCAAAGGAAATCATTGAGATTCGGAAAGATAGTTGCGGTCGTGTCTAAATTTAAGCTAAATCTCGAGGTAGTTGTCGTAATTGTTCATATTATTTGGAGCTGAAAATGAATTGGAACAATGGGATTTGTTTGCAATATCAGGTGACTGGGAAAGCACTCATGCTCGATGAGATCATTAATTACGTACAGTCCTTGCAACGACAGGTCGAGGTAAAATTAAACAGACCAAATTGCATGTTGTTCAGTTTTTCGAAAAATTAATCCATCTCTATGTACTTTATATTAACATTTTCGCATTCTTTTCATAATATTTTCCAGTTTCTGTCCATGAAATTGGCCTCGGTCAATCCAGGCCTTGATTTCAACATGGAAAATCTTCTCTCCAAAGATGTGAGCTCAAATTAAATTCCTATCCAAATTTTTTTTCTAGATATTTATATATATTCCTGAAATATCGTAATTTGATGGGTCCATCATATGATGATGTGCAGATGTTTCAGCAAAATGCAATCTCTCTGCCCCAACAAATGTACCCTTTGGAGTCCTCTTCGCCAGCAGCATTCTATCAGCAAAATATACACCAAATGCATCATAATCAGAACAATTGTTCAAGCAGCATATTGACCGGTCCGTTGGGCCAATGCACAGTGGGCTCTCTACCTATGGATGCTCGCAGTTTAGGAATTCATTTGCCTTCCGCTGACGGGTTTAACGATATCATTACCCAGGTAATTCAGGGAAAAAAAAACAATGTTAGTAATTCTTGAAAGAAAACACTTGAATCTAATGTTCTTATGATGCTGACTCCATTTTCGTAGCAGTTTCCTTTATTCAATGAAGATGAATTGCAGAGCATTGTTCAGAGGGGATGTGTCCAAGATCCAGTTAACTTTTCTGGTAAAATGATAAAAATAAATTTAACTTGTCCAAAAAAAAAAAAAAA